AGCCCAGGGGTCCCCACTCTGGAGTGTCTCTTGGCTTTGCCGCCTCCTGACAGTCCTCAGACTGGGGCCTTGAGAGTCAGGGCTGTTGAGGTGGGGGTGACCAGCACCCTGCACAGGGGATGAGGTGGGAAGGCAGCCCAGGCTGGCGGGAGAAACAGAGGGGAGCGACATTCTGAAACTGGGGAAACGTGCCCTGGAATGTTCCCCTGGAGGCCAGTGAGGGCGCTGGGAGTGCTGCCTGAGGTGGGGACTGCAGTGGTAGGCAGCAAGGGTTGGGAGCTGGCAGGCTGAACTTTGCCTGGCTGGCACAGAATCCCCAACTCCCCATGTTTCCAAGGACCCCGCCGCCCCACAACCCCCTGCTGGCCCCGGGCCAGCCTTCAGATCAATTGTGAAAACACCTGATATGTTTAAAGTGCTTTGCAGTTGTTTATGCAGCAGGTGCAGGAGCCTCCTTTCATCGGCCCCCCACGGGGACTGGGCCTGGTAAGGCAGGTGTGCCTAGATGTGCTATCTACATTTTGCAGACACGGGCGTGGAATTTGCAATGGTGAGGGGACTTGCCGAGTATTGGGTCAGTGCAGGCCTCTTTCCACTGGGCCCTGCTGCTCCTCCGAGTCTCTCAACAGCAGCCTAGTGTTCTGGCCTGTCCATGAGCTCACTCCCCTGGGGCTCCGGGTCTCCTTGCCTTCGACATGTTGTTCCTCTGCCTGGATCACCACCCTTCTCCCTGTCCTGACCCAGCTCAAATGTCCCATCTTCTGGGAAAATTCTGGTCGAAGTCCCCCTCCCAGGGGCCACACTGGCTCCCAAGAACCCTGCCTGCAGCTCACACAGCTCCAGCTGCTGCGGGACCCTGCCTGGTATTGATACATAGAGGACAGTCAAAAATGCTTCAGGTTTTAGCGAATACCAGCGATTCCTGAACTTTTTGGATTACAGATTCTTGTGAGAATCTGGTGAAAGCTATGAATCCCCAGTCCATGTGGGCATCCAGGTGAGGAGTGAGGTGAGACAGGTGATGAGAGACAGCTGCACGCTGGGTGGCTGATGCTTTTGGAAAAAATTTCACATCGTGGGGAAAGAGTTTTCATTTCTGACAGAGCCTCACTCTGACACCTCCTCCTGAGTGGGACCCGACAGAGTCCCCTAGGGTCCCTGGTCCCATTTCTCTGCTCAAAGTTTCTTCTGAAGCTCAGCTGGGGCATTTCGGGGGGCGCACCCTTGGCCAGGCCCTCCCTGCGGCGAGTGCACGTGCTGCTGCTCCTTGGGGGGAAGAAGCAAGCGGAGAAGCAGGAGAAGTTCTTCTGGGGTCAGTGGTCCCAAGTTCTTTTCTCAAATTCATTGCTACTCAACTATTTTTTTCTCCAAAGCAGTAAATCTCCTTCTGTTATTCTCCAAGTTGATATAGTAAGCTGTGTCATTTTGAGAAGAAATACATAATGGTATATTAGAGGAATATCTCCTCATTCATGCTTAGAAAAAATTTATTACAATGTAAGAAAGTCTGAATAGCATGAATTTATTATAATGATTTAACACTGCTGCACTTGAGTTAAGGATGCCCCTCCATAAATAACTGTCCCTGAAAAACATAGCACATTTACACAGTTTACCGTTTCTCAATGTTATATAAATCCAACAAGCTTAAATCACCTCCAGCTCGGGGTGGGTGGGGGGAGGAATGCTGAAACTGGGCTGTGAAGTTCACTGTCTCAACTGGCAGTGACAAGAGGCCAGAGAACTTCCCTTCCTCCGGCCCCTCAGCACTTAAAGGGCTGACGTGTGGGGGAGAGAAGGATGAGCAGGAAACAACCACGGTTTACACCTGCAGAACAGGTGAAGCCCAGTGGGCCTTGGGCATCCTGGCTGTGATCCGGCCATTGTCCGTGTGGTGGTGGCCAGGAGGGACCAGCCGAGGCTGCCCCACCGTGCACTGCAGCGGGGACAGGGCAGCCAGTGTGGGGCCCTTTACGGACCTCAGGCAGAGCCCGGTCTTCTGGTCAACCTTCCACTTTCTCACAAACTCCAACACTGCTCTTTCCTCTGGGGCCTTCTGTTTCCTCCACGTACAAGCAGCCCCCTCAGGCTCCTCTGGCCCCCTGGACACCAGCTTAGCCCTGCTTTCAGGGAGAGCTCGGCCTTGTTGTTCTGGCTTTTCCTCCAGGGTTAGGCCAGCATTTGGGGCACTGGACTTGTAAGGTAGGAACTATCACTTCCATTCTTATGAATCATTTTATAAATTATTACAGCTGAGTTTAAATGTAACTTGCCTAAAGGCAGGCAGCTCACGCATGGTAAGGCTGGGTGGACTCCAAGGCCAGTGTATGTTCTAGCTGGGTGCACAGTGTTCTAATGGGGAGGACCACACGCAGGACCACACAGCGCAGCTGCAGGTGGGCTGTAACAGGGGCCCTAGGCAGCATTGCTGGAGCCAAGAGAAGAGCATCCACAATGATGACTCAGGAAATGTGGAAGCAGATTCATCCAAAAGAACAGGACATAGGAAAGCCACACAGGCCAAAAAGAGCTGTGAGGCTGTGGGAGACGGCCAGGAGTTGTGGGTTGCAAGCAGAGCAGAGAGGAGAAGGGAGGGTTGACCAGTGCTGACTCCCAGGAGTGGCAATAATGAGTGAAAGGGAGGAGTTTCGAGGAGAGTAGGAAGTGTCCACGAACCCTCAAACTCTGCTGATGAGAATGTGAAATGGTCAAGTTGTTTTAGAAAATAGCCTGGCAGTTTTTCAAAAAGTTTCCATACGACCAGCAAACCCACTCCTGAGTATCTGCCAGGAGGAATGAAAACATGTGCCCATGACCACTGTCCCGTAAGGGGGAAGTCTGGGGACAGTGCCAAGGAGCATCCTGGGCCACAAGAAGCCAGATGAGACCGTGCCCTGAAGGTCCTGACACAGACCATTCCCACTGAATGCCCAAGCACTAACCTACTGGTTTCACTAGTATACCCACCACCCTCACCGCCCAAGGTAGGCCTCCTCCTCATTTGGCCACTGTATTTTCAGAAGAGGTTAACCACGGCAATAACAACCTTTACTGTTTAGAGAAGGCAGTCACATGCATTATGCTGCTGCAGAGATTTGTCTTTCCCCAGGGATGTGGCTTTAGACAGCCTTCCCATGGGCTCCACGCGCACCGACACAAAGAGGTCCAGATGGTGGCACTTGCTCCTGGAGGGTTATCCCCCTACAAGCCCCCAGGAGTGAACATGCTATCTTCTTCCTCACTGTGGGCCGTGTGGCCTGTGAGGGCTCACTTCTTAGGTGGGGGTGGAAGGAATGGTCAGTCCTCGTGGAAATTCTAAGACGTTCATCTTGGAACACTGGACCAAGGCAGTGATGCGCCGTGGGCGGGAGGGCACCGGCCTGGCAGCCAGACCTGCCGCTGCCAGGACGTGGGAGCCCAGACAAGTCACTTTTCTCCGAACTCTTCATCTGCATATGAAACTGATGAATTATATGGGCAACAAGGTCCAACCCATCCATCGAGTTCTGTGACTCTGGAGGGGGGAGGGATTATGGTGTCCGTGGGGTAGACAAGGCCCTGAGGATTTTCTGGGAGCCTACTCAATTCTGAGTGCATGTGGTGGAGGTGTGCAGGGAGGGAAAGAGCTGTGAAGCTGAAGCCTGAGGGGTTACAAGGTCCCGCCTCTAAAAGGACCAATGGAGCCCTAGGGGCTTAGAAACAACCCACCATTAACAGCCCCTCTGAGAAACCATGAAATTGGCAACTAATTTACGAAACTGGTTCTCCAGCTGCCAGGTCATTCTTCCTCTGAGGACTAGGGTGTCACCCTCACCGCACTCATCCCCAGTTTTATTCCTAAACTCAAGGGTAACCTTCTGACAACTGGGGGAAAACTTATTTCATCTTTAGTTTGGAAGCTGGCTGCGTGGTGACTCTATTCCTGTCACCTCTGCCTCTGTGGGGAGGCTGCGCAGTCTCCGCGTTCAGGTGAAGATGCCAGGCTGGTGTGGGGAACAGGGGGCAGGACGGGGTGTCTAGCTACCTTAGCTGAACCCATAGGTGTGATCTCAGAACTGGGCACTCCATCACTCAAGCCCTCACCTGCATTCTTGCAACACCTAAAGCCAACCAGGCAGGGCCATTTCCCGGTCTGAGATAGCACAAACAGTGCACCCTTGCTGAGCAGGGGACAGGCACATAGAAGGCACTCAGGCACACAGAACCTTCCGTGCCAGCAACCACACAGCCTAGAAGAGGCGTGGTGTCCGTGTGTGGGAGTGCGCCGGAGTCAGCCAGGAGAGCCTGTCCTTTCACCTTTCAGGTGGCCACGAGCTCCTGCTGCTCTAACACGGACTGAGGGAAGTAACATTTGGATAATCTGGAGCTCTGCTCTTACTTTCTTTCAAGCTGTGCCCACTGACCTGAGGAGGGATATTTATTCAGAGCACAATTCAGGATCAAAACCGCATGGGGAAAATAGCCATGGAGATAATTTATTAACCTAAAATCTCACACATATATAAACAGTTGCCCACATAAAAACAGCGCACTCCGAGGTGGGGATAAAGCGTTAGCTGGGAGGAGTGTGCCAGGCCTCCAGCTCCTAAGGACCGTGACCATGGACCTCATCCCAGCTCTGCTCTGTCAGGCCGGGCCCCTCCCCAGAGCCTCTGACCAGCAAATCTGGCATGAGCCATGTGCTGGAAGCAGGGCCAAGTGGAAAGAGTGGCTCTGAAGGAGGAGAGTCCCTCCCTCCCCACGATATCTGGGGCACTCTAGATAAGTTCCCACTGTGGGGGTTAGGTTTGGAAAAGCCAGAGCGAGCGTGACTCCTGGAAGGGTGACTGTTGGCAAACATTTTTCCTTGATTAGCCTAGGTTTCCCAAGTCAGGCACTTAGGGCACTACTTAGAGAGCTTCAGTGGACACACTCTGTCCTTTTCCATTTTGCAAACATCGACTGGTTGTTCTCTCTCACAAGGGTGGGCGGGGGGGGGGGAGGGGCAATGTGTGGCATCACCTGCAGCACCTCCAATCTGTGTCCAGTCTTGTTTTGGGGAAGTGGCTGGAGGCTGGGCAAGCAGATCCCAACCGGTCACTTCACAGAGAGGAAGGGCAGATTCCTGTGTGCCAGGCCTCTCTTGGCAGGTCAGTCTGCAGTTAAGCTCCCAGGCTTTTCATTTACACACACATACACGTATATATATACATATGCGTACATATACACATCTCAAAGTAAGACACATTAAAATCTTAACATACACACTTCAATTGATAATGAAAACGTTAGCGTAGACACAAATTCGCCCAGGAAATGCCTACAGGACAGAGAAAGGCAAATCATGGAGGGATGTGGCACGTGAAACATTTTGACTGAGGCTCTGCTGAAAACCTATCTTTGCTCTTCCAAACTGCTCATTCAGGGGAAGTAAAGAAACAATGAAACTGCATTCTGTGGCCTGTGACCCCCAAAGCCTTCAGTTTAGAGCTTGCTTGTGATCCTTTAAAGGCAAACAAGCTTCTTTCTGAAAGAAAGCACAGCTCTCGTCGGGGCCCGTCCTCTGGCCGCCCCTCTGGGGGCAGGAAGAACGCCGCTGCCCAGACGTGAGAGTGCAGCTACGGACGACCGCGGGGACGTGGGTGTGAGATGGGCAGTTATGATACGCAGGGCAAGAAAAACATGGTCCTGGAGACCTGCCTTTAACTGGGAAGATGGCCCCCCAGTTTTATTACACCAAAGAAAATTTCGTTTTCAAAAAGCTTTCTGAAATGGGATGAAGCTTACTCTCACCAGGGCGAACTTGAAAAGGGTACTGTCATCTGCAATGACTTTTCAACTTTTTAGGTGAATGGCTACAGCTGGTGAGCCCTGACCTTCCATGTACTTTGGATCAAGGGTATGGTAGTGGCAGGCGCCATTCTCCTCTCCTCCAAAGAACAAAAGAGCCCAAGTGCAGAAGGCTGCAGAGCGGTGATAGGGCCTGGCCTGAAGAGACAATGAGACTTAGAGCTCTCTAGACAAGGAAGCTACTCAGCAAGGCTTTTGTAGGCCGGAATAACCTAGTTTCGATAAAGAATTCAGGGAAGCCATGCAGGCTAGGGGGTCTGACCTTGGTTGGATGACAGATGCCTGGTCCTAGTTCAAGCCTGGGGTTGGTGAAAAAGAGAGAAAATAAAAGCAACGCCATCCAGATCAAAGTCATCAAGTAATGCACATCTGGGACGACGTGCGTCCCCTCATTCCAACAGCTGGAACATTTTAAACTCACTGGTGCTACGAGGTCCACACACAGCCCAACAGGCTGAGAGGCCACTGGAGCCCGCTGTCAGCTGGAGGACGAGCTCATGAGCTCTGCTGAACAGAGAGTGAGCTCAAATGTTAATTCTCCCGTAGGCTTTCTTGGGGTCAAAGTGAGGCCTGGTGGGAAGCAGGGGAGGCTCTGCTTGGGGGCAGTGGAGATTCTTTGGAGGCACGGAACAGTAGCCCTGGGCAGGGCATACCCGAAGCCTGGTCAACCCTGGGCCTTGGATACACCGGGAAAAGAGGAGGGGCTGGGGAAAGCCCATCAGCCGGCCGGAGCTGATGCTACTGCCCCTCGAATAGCACCTCCTCCAGACACAACCGTGGGAAGTTCACAAGGGCAAGTGAAATGGACACTCAGGTCAACAGAAAATACTGAGAGATTGCTCTTACCTATTCAGGAAAATTGATGGATGGTGGGAAAAGTGTTTCAGGCTTCTGCCTCCACTAGTGTAGTCACTTTTGTGTGATTTAATGCCAGTTTCCCAGGGCTGGGGGGCGGGTCCCTCCCAGTTTCCCAGGGCTGGGGGGCGGGTCCCTCTCTCTCTTTAGCCCACTGAGCCCTTTTGCTTACCGGGGGAGCACCTGCCAGGATGATGACTACTGAGCCTGACTCACACTTGGCCTTCAGTGTTGCTTGTGACAACGGCAGCCCTGACTCCACCTTCAGTTAAATGACCACACTTAGGTAGAGACAGGTGGTGAGAGAACAGGTGGAGAGGTAAAAGGGTCTCTCCTTATGAAATTGCTTGTTACAAGGGGCTGCTTTTAAATTAGAGGGATCTTTCAGTGGGTAGGTTTTCCTTGTGTCAAAAAAAAAAAAGCCGGTCCTTTTCAGCAAAATATTGAGAAGGAAATTCAAAACGAAGCTGAATATGCGATGGCCCCTGCCGTGCAGACAGTGTCCTGTGTTGGTGTCCCATATCCGCTCGGCCTGGAGAAGACACTACCCGTCTCCCCCGAGTGCGTTTCATGTACTGACTGGTCTGGTCAGAAACACCCTGGGTTGTCGGGATGATTTCTATATTTGACACATGACAGATGCTAGTGAGACAGGGCCCTGTGAAAGGAGAGACACAATTACTTGTGATCAAAAATTTTAAAATCCTAGATCAGTATATTACAAACCCCACAGGTTCTGATGGAAATTTTGCAGCAAGTGCTTTGGCGTCAAATGAAAAAGATATCTTCCAGGATTTGATTCTCCTCCAGGTCTTCAGGGGTCCTGCCTGCCCCCATCTTGTTCCGGGTTGATTTTAGAGAACTGAGTCGGCAAGTTCTGCGATTCCAGGTCCCGGCTTCTCTGGAGGGGTGGGGCTGGGGTTTGGAAGCAGACTTCGGGCTCAGGGACTGAACCAAATCCAACAGCGATGTCTCGTACCTGTAACACACACAACCCAGACAGAAAACAATCAGACCAGCACAACATTAGGGTCCAAGGAGCCCACAGTGGCGGGCTGCCCAGGGCAGGGGCCAGATCACAGACCACCCGTGTGCAGGAGGGCCCTGGAGGGGAATGTCAGGGAAGGTGGACGCCAGAAGGCCCTGCTGTCGGTCCACGAGCTCTCCTCCTCTGCTGACTTCTAACATTGCTCTTTTAATCTTAAACATTTTTTATTAAATGTATTGGGATAACACTGGTTAATAACATCATACCAATTTCAGGTGTACAACCTTAGAGTACATTATGTGCTCACCGCCGGAAGCCTGGCCTCCTTCCGTCACCATGTATTTGGCCCCCTTTAGCCTCTTCACTCTTTTCCCCTCCCTCCCTGGCAACCACCATTCTGTTATCTGTGTCTGTGAGTTTGTGTTTTTGTTTTGCTCATTAGTTGCTTTTTGTTTTATACCCCACATGAATGAAACCATATGGTTCTTGTCCTCTTCCTTCTGACTTTCACTTAACACAGTACTCTCATGATCTGCCTGTGCTGTCACAAATGGCAGTATTTCATCTTTTTCACGGCACAGTAGTATTCCACTGTAGATATGTGCCACGCCTTCCTTATGCTACCCTCTGCCAAAGGCCACGGGTTCTTTATAATGTTGTGGCTATTATAAGTAATGCTGCAATGAATATGGGGTACACATATCTTTATGAGTAAGTGTCTTCACATTTTGGGGGGTAGATACCCAGAAGAGGGATTGCTGTTTTTAATTTTTTGAGGACCCTCTGTACTGTTTTCCTTAGTGGCTGCACCAATTTACAACCCCGCCAGCAGTGTGCAAGGGTTCCCTTGACTCCACTTCCTCTCCAACATTTGTTATTTCTTATCTTATTGTTAATAGCCATTCTAAAAGATGAGAGGTGGTATTTCATTGTAGTTTTGATTTGCATTTCCCTTTTAGCTAGTGATATGAGCACTTTTTTCATACATCTGTTGGCCATCTCTATGTCTTCCTTGAAAATTGTCTGTTCAGGTCCTCTGCACATTTTTTAATTGGATTGTTTGTTGATGTTGTTGTTGAGTTGTGTGAATTCTTTCTATATTTTAGATATTAGCCACTTGTCGGATGTATTGTTTGCAAATATCTTCTCCCATTACGCTGGCTGCCTCTTCGTTTTGTTGGTTTCTTTTGCTGTGTAGAACACCTTTAGTTTGATACAGTCCCACTCATTTATTTTTGCTTTTACTGCCCTTGCCTTTGGGGCTTGGATAACTATTCTTCACCCCACTAGATATCAACCGAAGTATCACTGCTTCAGAAAGGACTTCCTTAACCTCATTATCTAAAATAGATTGCCCCGATTAATTTTCTTCTCATAATAATCTGCTCCTTTATTTCATAGCATTTATCACAATTTGTAATTATTTATTTATATGGGTTTTTTTGTTCAATGTCTTCCTCCTTCGTTGCACTGGCAGTAATACAAAAGCAGGAGTCACTGTGTCCTTAATGTCAAGTCCACGATGAAGGGCGAATTACACTACTTTGTCACGTTTGTTTTCTTAAACATTTTAAAATTGTTCAGATATAAGAATGTGTCCATTATAAAAACTGAAACACACAGAATTATACAAAAAAAGTGAAAGTCCTCTCAACACTCTGTCCTCCAACCAAATGGGAACCCCATTACCTTTCCAAGAGAGCACTGAAAACAGTTTAGTATACAAGGTCTGTCCAGAAGGTATCCAGCCATGTCATGTGAAAAATAGAGACATTTATTGAAGAAGATACAAGATACAAGAAACACTTCCCTGGCTGGCATAGCTCAGTGGATTGAGTGCAGGCTGTGAACCAAAGCATCGCAGGTTTGATTCCCAGTCAGGGCACATGTCTGGGTTGCAGGCCATGGCCCCCAGCAACCGCACATTGATGTTTTTCTCTCTCTCTCTTTCTTCCTCCCTTCCCTCTTTCTCCCTCCCTTCCCTCTCTAAAAATAAACAAATAAATAAATTAAATATATTAAAAAAAGAACTCTTAAAAAAAAAAAAGAAACACTGTATGTAGGACAACGACGCCTCAGTCCCCTTCAAAGCAGGCACCTTAGGACCTCACATAGCTCTCCCAGTCTCCATCAGCTGCCCCATCGTGTTTTCCTGAATCTCATCGACTGTCTGAAATCTCTTCCCTTTTAGTTTTGGGGAAAGCCAGAAGTTTCAGGGTGCCAAATATGGGCTGTAGGGTGGCTGAGTCACATGGGGGATTTGATGTTTCACAAAAAAACTCTACATGAGATGTGTGTGATGCAGGAGCGGGCACACTGTCGTCATGAATCTGCCAATTACCAGTTGCTCATGGCTGTGGCCTTCTGAATCATCTGAATAGTTTCTGTGGAGGAATGTTCAAGCCAAATGCAAAATTTGATGCAGATTCATTGCTCTACTCACTTAGTCATCTTGAATGTGATAGCCACACAGTGCATATGCTCACTCAACAGCGTTCACTGCCCCCACTGACTGGTACAGTGAAATCGTCTTCGTTACACATATGCACTCTCGTCCACTTTCCTATGCTGCCAGATTACACTAACATCGTGCAAACTGTTCTTGTTCTATTAACAATAGCTAGACTTTTTCTGGATAGACCTCGTATAAACTTCCAAATCTTTTTTTTTGTATAATTATATGCATGTATGTGCAATACAAATGAACACACACGTATTTAAAAACTTAAATTGAGCGATGCTTATATACTGATCTATGGTCTGCTTTTTTCCCTTAACAGATTGTTTTGGAGACTGTCCTGCAATCGTGCAGATAGATCTACCCAATTCGTGCAAACTGCTGCAGGGTTCTGCTTTATGGATGTGCCATTGCTCTAATTTAAAAGAATCCCCATAGCTTTTATTATCTTACTCTAGCTAAATTTTGTATTTAGCATTCCTGTTCTGTTATCTTAAGAGGGAAAAAATCAGTATTTGGTAATTAGTGTTGATTTAAGGACAATTTGCTCGAAAACATTTCCTTTACAGTAGGCTTTTCTTGAACTTCCTTTCTACTACATCCACACAGATAATGTCACCATAACTTGCTTCAACGAACAGAAATAATATGGGAAGACACCGTGCAGGTTTTACGTAATCTCAGATAAAATAGCTTAATTAGGTTTGCTTTTACCGTGCCATAAACTAGCCAGGTTCACAGAGATCTAGAATCTATCTTCCTTTCCGAGATAATGAATTCAGATATGCATCAGGGATCCCTGGGTGATAAGAACTTTTTTTCTTACAATCATGCCAACCAGTACCCGCAGTCCATGAATAAGGCGCAGAGAGCTGAGAGATCATTCTGGCACAGGGACTGGAGAAGTTAAGAGGTCCTATAAATTCTCTTTTGCCTTATTAATGTTATTAGTTCTGTAGAGCCAGTTAAACTATAACTCCGCTGGCTCGAAAGTCTGACTCCTATCTCTATGCCAATTTTGTGGTTCCAACCTCCAGATCTATGAAGTCATCTATTGTGTTGGGGCTTTAAAAAGTGGACCACGGTGATGAAGCTGTTACCCTGATGAATCATTACCATTTAAAGAAAGCTGTAACTAGATACTTTCAGATGAGCTATATTCATCTGTATACATATTTTCAATAGATGACCATCCTATTTTATGTATTTTAAATGGCATGGCTTTTCACACATCAGTGAGAAACAGTAACAAAGTGAGTCACTGGAAGTGACTATAGAAGAATTTGGAAATCTTCATTTCTGGATTGAATAGTTATTCAAGGAGAATAATATCTTAGTCATCCTTATAGTTCTAATCATAACTCTACTATGGTATTTCTGGTAATAGCTCCAAATTAATATTCTTGCCCTGGCTGGGTGGCTCCGTTGGTTAGAGCATCATCCCACACGCCAAAAAGTTGTGGGTTCCACCCCCAGATAGGGCACACACCTAGGTTGTGGGTGTGCTCTCCCACAAACCCACAGGGGCGCATACGTGAGGCAGCGGGTTGATGTTTCTCTCTGACACTGATGTTTCTCTCTCTGTCTCTCTCCCTCTCTCTCTGAAATCAATAAAAAAACCCATATTCCTGGGTGAGGATTTAAAAAAATCATTTTTTAAATTGATTTAAATGATTTAAAAAAATCATTTTTTTAATTCCATTTTATGTGAGTAATTATACCTTATACTGTGTCCCATATGTTACATGCATTGGGTTACCTTAAAAAGTTGTGAATTCTGATGCAAATTTAAACCACAATGAGAATGACTAGTAAAATGCCTGTCAGAATGGCTATCATCAGTAAACCCACAAATGGCAAGTGTTGGAGAGGAAGTGGAGAAAAGGGAACCCTAGCACACTGTTAGCTGGAATGCATACTGGTGCAGCCACTGTGGAAAACAGTGTGATGTTTCCTCAAAATTTAAAATGAACCTGCTTTACGACCTAGTGTTTCCACTTCTGGGGATTTATCTGAAGAACCCTAAAACACTAATTTGAAAGAATATATGCATACCTTTGTTCACTGAGTTATTTATAATAGTTACGCTCTGAAAGAAACTCAAGTGCCCGTCAACAGATGAATGGATAAAATAGCTGTGGTATATATATACACAATGAAATATTACTCAACCATAAAAAAGAATGAAATCTTATCATTTTTGACAGCATGGATATACCTAAATAGTATTATGCTCAGTGAAATGTCTGTCAGAGAAAGACAAATACCATATGATTTCACTTGTAGGTGGAATCTAAAGAGCAAAACAAACAAACAAAATTGACACAGACGCACAGGTACAAAGAGAGAACTGGTGACTGCCAGAGGGGTGGGAGGCTTGGGGCGCTGGGGGAGAGAGGCGAAGGGACGGAGAAGCACAGATTGGTAGTTATGAAAGTGTCGTGGGGAAGTAAGTAAAGGCTAGGATGTATGGTCTATAACTATGAACGGTGCCAGCTGGGGTACTGGGAATACTGAGGGAACACTACGTAAA